TTAGAAGAGTCATTTAGACTCTGAAGATAGCTTTCAATGCCATGGCCAGATATTTGGAAGGTGCAAACCAACGTGGTATTTTATGAAGTATATAATGTGTATTAGTATATGCAAATCAATGTTTATATCGTAAGTTTTCTTGGCCACCTCCTGGTGACATTACCAGAAGAGCTGGAACAGTCCTACTGAAGCTAGGCCTAATCATTGCAATCTGGAAGCTGCTGCTCTAACAGTTTTTTATTTACTGCGATCCTAAAACATCTATTCTCTGATTTAAGATTCACTGTGTTTAATTGCCATGCTCCCAGGTAATTGTATTCTAGGGAATACAACTGCCAGTTTTTCCACCCACATGCTGCGTGGGAATTCTAACAGCTGTAGTTCCAACACATTTAAAGTGCTAGTTTGGGTGGAATTGCCAGGTCAGAGGTGTTCTGCACAGCACCTGATTTCAGATGTGTTTAGTGGAATGTCAAGCCAGAGATTTCTCCATTGTTAGGTTCTAATGCCGAGGTGAGCTTTTTTAAGATGAGGATGACCCAGGAAGGCTGGTACATGGATGTCCTTTTTTGTTGGTTTATAGCATCTATGAAAATATGGAGAAAACATTTTCAGGAGAAGATCAAAATGTAACTGTCCTGACAGCTTTTGCCGTAATCCACAAATATCAAATAAGATTATGAAGAGCTTAAATAAATCTCTGCTAATACTGTTTGATTGGCTTAATCAATAATTAATCATCTTGATAGGAGGCTGTAGTTTGTGGAGTAGATATAATTGGATTAACAGAGAGAGGCCTCGGGAGCTTTTGAAGAGATTAAAATGGCTGTCAATCGTATAATTAAACAGCTGCAAACAAAAGCAACAGGTTTTTTTTAAAAGGGTGTGGGAGAGAGAAAAATCTGACTGCATCTAAATGAATGCTCTAATACTTAAGCTCCACTAGAAGCAGGTTGGGTAGGACAAATCTGTTTTCTTGACTGACTTCTCTCATTCAGTAAAATTAATATGTATACAGTTGTGGTTTTGAACTGAGAAAATGTTGACTATTCTCTAACTGGCAGGTGGGATTTCAGCATAGTAGTGGAGATTAAGTAGAGGCAGCTTTTTATTTACTCATTTTTTATTTAATCAACAGTACATCTATTCTTTGTCCTTATTCCATTAGTGACTGAGTTCTCTTTTTCAGATAGGTCTTAATTGGCTTAGTGGATGTGTGCTGTCTGAATGAAGTTTATTAGGGTTATGCCCTGCTTCCCCCAATCAGCCAGCAGCCCATTTTTGGGGTAGCCCCATTTAGCTTCACATACTTGAAATCTAAGTTCCCTCAAAACTTTAAACCATGCATGTTGGCATTCTCCCCCAGCCCCATTAACTGATAGCATCTAGTGGCTCTGAAGATTTTGAGTTGGTTTTTTTTGTACTCCAGAGACATCCAGGTATCTCATTTTGTTTTAATTTGTAATCCATTGAGTTGCTGAGGTGAGTTAGAAGAAGAAGGTGGCAGTTTCACACTGCACATTTTGCTCTATTTGTATGTATGCATATGTGAGTGTACTAATAACATTCTTTGCCATTTTTAAACTATATGGCAAGACAAAACCTGAATCTTTTTATTTTCACTTATATAGGGACAAAGTTATAACACCCATGGGAGTTCGACCAGATGGCACCATGACACCTTTGGAAGAAATAGTCTGCCAGTATCAAGCCAATGAGCATGAAACTTCAGATTCTGACTAGAATATTGGCTATTTCACATTCCCTCACTCCTCTTCCCTTACTCATGGCATTGCTCATTATCTGAATGTTAAAGCACTGTTGCAACGGTTTTATAAATCAAAATGTTTAAATTATAAATTCTGTGGTGTACTTATTAGCATTTCTAAGATACCAGTTTATATAGCAACAAGAAATAACATTTATTAACTTCAAGCTAACTGTGTTCAATAAGATAAAAAATGTGGTGTAAAATTGAAAAGATTATGATGTTGTTCTTTAGCTTTGAAATCAGCCCTATTAGGAGTCATCCATTAAATATGAAACCAGGAGTTGTTTTAAAGCCCTTCAAGTACAGCTTCTGGTTTAAAAAAAAAAAAATCAGTGTTTTTTGCCTAATTATAATGGGTTTGTACTGCTTTTTTATGTTTTAAAGATACTCTATTTCCTTGTTTTGAGGACTGAAATAGAATATCTAGACTTTAAAATTATGAGAAATCTTTAAAATGATAATTAAACTGTCACTTTAAAGAAACAGCTATCTGTCAGATACCTTTATTATTGGTTATTTACTTATTTATTATTTTGCCCTCTATTTCCATATGTGAAGGATCCTGAATTTTGATGAATCAATCTCTTTTTACCATTAAATTAGATAAATGGGTTCAGTGTTTTTATACAATTAAAGTTGTAGGTTCATATACATCATTACTTTGTCCTCAGATCCAGCTCTGAGAACAGTCTTGTCCCCTATGTTTGTGGAATAGCTGCTGAAATGGCTAGTCCATAAATTCATTATGTAACCACACCAATCCTAGTACAGTCTCCACCCTGTCACCAGTTATAGGCTTGTCAGTGATGGTTAGACACTCTTCAGAAAGCTATATAAAGTGAAAGACTAGGCAAATACTGCATTAAAAATTCCTTTTGAAAAAGGATATAGATAAAATACATTTTACAGTATGAGGAAACAAAAGCAATTTGTCTCGAACTGTGTTAATGTCAGAACAATTTAGCTCTGTAATAAATATGGAAAATATATTGCAGTCTCTCAATAAAACTTTATATACAATGTAAATGCGTAGTTCTAGTGTGTTGTCCCCATCTCCTCAAACAGTATCTCATTAGGGAGTGGTCTTGATTTCACCCTAAATTTAACCAGGTACATCCAAGAGAACGTTCTAGTGAATTGTGCCCTGTCTCCTCTGTTAATGTAGGCTAACTGTATTTTTGGTATCAATCTGTAGTCTTCCATCCTGTTGTCTCTCTAATGAGGGTGAATTTGGTAAAGTTCCTCCAGTAATACAATGGTCCTCCAGTAATATGATGATCTTTCCTATGATTAGAACACTAGTCACAGTTTTTCATGAAAACAACTATGTCTAAACATGATGTCTGTTCTGGTAATACAAATCCATCTACAGAATGTCAAGTTGGATCTACCATTTCTAATCTAGTTTCCTGTTCCCAATTTCAAGGTCTCCAATTGCACAAACTTCCCTCATTCAAGCAAAGAATGCCCCATTCATTACATTTCTAATTTGGCCAAAGTCAGGAACAAAGAGGAAAGGGTTGGGGATGGACCTCTAGGACATGGTTTTGTCCCACGTAAGCTCTGAGTAGCTTCACAGGACTAATTTTAAACTGTGAGTTGTGGATACTGGGCAGTCCAATAATCACTGGAGGTATGTATTTATACTACTGAGAGAAACACACAGTCACTACTATTCAAATGTGTTGGTCCTATGTGAAGTTATGATTGTAGAATCACATCATTGCTGTGATAGCTCAAATTAATAGTAGAGTTGATGTATTTTGTATGTGCAAATTAAACTATTATTTGTCCACTATCTCACTATGAGTGAATGGGGCGTAGCTAGAGATGCTGTCTGAAAGAACTACCTAGAGATAGGTTAGTTAGTTAATTATGTCATTTATACACTACCATAATCTGCATGGTTGCCTGGTAGTTTCCAACCATGAAACAATATTCAAACCAAGGCAATACCATAATATTACTTTAGTACTGATTGTGTGCACTCATTTCCTCTTCTGGAAAAGTTTTTACCACCTACAGAAGTCCATTAGGAGAAGTGATCTAATCTGAGGGGGGCGGTTTCATTACATAGGGGCTACAACAGAAAAACATTGTCATCTGCACCTTGGAAATGGTGAACCTTAACTGATTTTGTCAAGGAGCACACACTGGACAAGTTGATTCCATATGGAGAAGGTGGTGTTGAAGATCCCTGGGAGCCAAATCACAGGTGGTCCAGGAACCAAACAATAGGGTCATGGTGGCTTAAGACACATGTCTCAATTGTCCAAGTCATGTTTCTGAGAATGGTCCATTCCAACCAGCAGTTCTGAATAAACATTGCATGGAGGTTTCTTATACAAATGATCTTTAAATCTAGGAGAGCATCTGGGACTGTTTAGGATGAATCTATGGTTTTTCAGAAAAAGCATAGCTTCCACTGAAACATATTATTACAAATCAATGTTTTCCTCTCATAAATAGAGTGTTTAAAATTACCCAATTTCTGCTAAGTTAGTACTTAAAAAGTTGCAAACTTTCTATTTTCTAGGGATGCATGTTATCTTCATAACATATAATCACCTGTCCTTTTCTTGGCCCACCTACTTCCCTTTCATATCTCTGGGCTCTGACTGAAAATGATTCAGTGTAGGTGACTAAGGCAATGGCATATTCTTAATGGTTGTATAATGCCAGGCTTCTCAGAATTGACTGACGTTTCTTAAAATGCTTTTGGATATTTTGAAATATATCAAAACTACGAAGTGAACTTGAAAGACCCTTTATATTTACAAAAGTGATGGTGCTCTGCCATGTTAACTATTTATGGTAATGAATAATTTAGCTATTAAGTTCACAAAATACAATGAATGCAGCTTAGAAGCAGGGAATGGGAAATAGAGGCTTTTACGGCTGATGTAACCTATGCGAAAGCAAGTATGATTTATTTCTGCTGCATTTATAAAAATACCTACATCTTCCTAGTCTGAAATACAATGCATCATTCATACAATGCAGACCTTAATAGCACGGCAATCTTCCGTTCTACTGCCTAAAATTAAGAGGGTGATCGAGTGTGCTAAAATCTCAAGCAGGAAGGCAAGTAAATAAATAAAGTCAGGGCAGAAACGAGAGAGCAGTTAAAACTACTATAAATCTTTTACTGGAGTAAAAGTGTTCTAACAGCCTAGGACAAAGAACATATAAAACCAGCCTGTAGAAAGCAGTCCGAAGTATAGCTGGCATCACCAAATATGCTTTGGCATCCACAGGGTATGGCCAAACAGTCAAGCAGGCAGCCACAACGGTGCAATCAAAGCTCCCAGCCATCATCTTGCCTTTTTTGACCACTCCCTGCAGATGCTCCTGAAGGTACTGGAAGTCTTAGGTAGCTGGACCTCAAGGCAGGTAAGGTTCAAAAGCAGAGGACCACGATATTGAATTGTGCTCAGAAAAATACATTCTGTTCTCCTCTGCTCTCGCAGTCTCTCATGTAGCAATTGATTGAGAAATTTTAATGGATTGGTCTGGTGTAATACATCCATGTGTTCTTTAGTTTGAAGACTAGAGAAAATGTAGAGTTTTAGGAATTAGCCTTAAAAATGACATGTAAGGAACAACATCTCAGTCGTGCATACTGAATACATTGCTGTTCCCCCTTTGCTGGTGTGTGTCCTCACAGTTTGGACTGTTGCCTTAGTACAACAGGGATGTACAACCTGTGCCTTCTGCCCAACTTTTGGGTAAAGTGCTCCAAATGTTGTTTGTAATGAGACAGAAGCAGCAAATTCATACATTCCTTCGGAGAGATCATATTGAACTAATGGACAAAGGCAGAATTGAGAGACTGGAATACCGTATTTTGCAGGGTGACTATGTTTTCTTACGTAAAGTTTTCTTCTTGCTTTTTAATCTTATGAAGCTGCTTGGAGCCTTTCTGAGGTTGGGCATCTTAGAAATTTGATAAAGAAATCATCCCTCCATCCATCTATTCTCCCTTTAAGGGTTTAAACTCTAGGATTCTCCCTCTTGCTTTTCCAAATTCATGGAAACTTGTTGAGTAACTTGGTGGCCTTGGATGATTGAGGTATGTTTACAAAAGGGCCATCTCTAGATTGAGAATCCCTGCAACCTGTCTTCCCCGCCTTGGCCCTTACCCATGGCATGCTCTCAATATTGCAAAAATATCCCCTAGACCAGTGTTTCTCAACCTTAGCAACTTTAAGCTGTGTGGACATCAACTCCCAGAATTCCCCAGCCAGCTTTGCTGG